CTCCAGAAGCTTCAGGGAAGCCTCTGAAGGGGAAAACAGCCCGATGGGCAACCCAGAAGTTCAGTAACAGAGTTCCAGGTTGCTCATAGGGCTGACTTTTGCTCTCTGGAGGAAAGCCTCCTGAAGCTCCAGAGGGCCTCGGAGGGGGTGGGGGAGGCCATTTTCACCCTCCTCGGGCTTCTGGAGCCTGGGGAGGGTGAAAAATGGTCCATTGCGTGCAAAAAGCGGGGGGACGGGGGTTGTGCACGTATGCACAGGGGGGTCGCACACATAGAATTTTGGGTGTGGGCATGCCTACGCACGACCCCCCCCTGCAGTCCCTCTGCTTTTGGCACACGATGGCAAAAAGGTTAGGCATCACTGCTCTTGTCAGGACTTTGTCAGTTTTTGTTCCGGTTTGGGTATCCCAACTACCAGAAAGTATTCAGAAAGTAGAACTGTACATAAGATGGCAGAAAGGCACTCCAAAAAGCATCAGATCCTGATATCGCCTCTGTAAAAGCTTCAGGGCCTGACTAGTGCAGTCCCAATGCTTAATTGATTCACGCAGAGTCCCAGCAGTCAAAGAGAAATGGCCACAGAATTCCTGTGGTCAGCTGGAAAGCGTTGGTAATGAAAAAATAAGTTTATGACCAATTCTTGCATTTATGGATTTCTGTAAAACAAAAACTGAAGTAAGATTGTAAGCACAGTCACCATCACAGTTTCACTTAGTGACTACTTTGCTTAATAACCAAATTGCCAAACCCAATTGTGATTATTAAATGATGACTAATTGCATTTGGAGAGAAATGCTTCCTGCTTCTCTTCCCCTGGTGATATCCGCCATATCAGCAGTCTTAAGTTCTAAAGCAGCAGTAAATTCTATCCTGTGCTATTAGGGAGTCACCCCTTATCATACAGATCTGACCTTCTTCTTCCTTGCTCTCAGATCCAGCAGTTTATCCAAGATCTGTCAGACATCTGGGGAGAAGTGAAGAAGAAAGATCAAAATCGATCACAAATAGGGTTTCCCAAGGACATGTAGAGAAAGCTCTCCAAAGCTTTACACAGCGTATTTCCATGCTCATTCTATGTTTGCTAAATTATGTGCAGGATTATGTTTTATTTATTATAGTGTAATTATCAAATCTACTTTACTTTCTTTCATACAAAACAAAGTCACATGATATCAAGAGTATATTTTTGCAAATAAAACTTTGGTTTCTCAACTGTGTTTGGCTGCTCCATATTTACTTTAACTTCCTAACACAAAACTAGTGCAAGCATTCTGAAGAACAGTCCTTTGAAAGGATAGATAATGATCAGAATAGGCAAGGGAAACATAATATGGATCATAATTAACTGTTTGTCAGGACTTTAAACATTTTGCAGTTTGCCAGCTTTTTGATAAATGGAGTAAAACAAATCTATTGTCTTACATTGTCTACACTGTAGGATAAATAAAATAATGAATAGAAATCTCCTCCAAACAAAATTAGTAATAAATGAACCTCCAGTTGAAGCCAAATAATAAGAATCTTTCAATTATTTTAAAAGGGGGGGATCTGTGGAGGTTGCAGTTGGGGGTGGAAAGGCCATTTACTGAAAATAACAAACCAAGAGTGACCTGGATAACTGTCCTATAAAGGATTTACAAAAGTAGATTGTTAAAGCTTTGAAAAATTTTGTAGGAAGGGACGAAGGAAAAAAAAAGAAAAATCAAGTTCTATTATTTGAAGATATTAAACTTCAAGATTGTTAAAAATAAAAGGAAATTATATGAAGTTGGTTCAATTGATCAAGATTAAAATAGATATGTTGTTGTGATCCTTTATGGACTTTTGCTGATCAGGACTGAAACAACAAGGTTTCATTATAGTATATTATGGGGAAAAGCTTGGAAGATGGGGCAAAGAGATGCTGCCTAGAGGATGGTCAAATAAGATCACAAACAGGGTGAAAGAGACATAGTACATAACTGGCTAATGAATGGAACAGGACAACAACCCTCCCAGCTTCTGTAAAGAAAGACAGTGAGAGATCCGTAATTCCAGACTTGCAAGATTCTGTTAATATAACCTTAAAATAAAATAGAATTAACTCATATTTCCCGTATAATCTATCTGGGAAGGCTGACAGGTTTTAAGGAATTGTTGATGAATAAAAGATGGAATATGGGAAGAAAACATCATTTATTGTATTAGATAAGTTATTATGTTGACATAAGTTATCAAGTTATCTTAAGTTATTAAGATTGTTTATACATGATGAAGGGGAAGTCATTTCTCAATGTGTTTCTTTTCTTTTTCTTTACTGTATTATTAGGTTTATTTTCTATTTTCTTCTTCTTTTCTGCCCTTTAGATTTTGTCTCTTTATTCTTTTAGTTTGTATTTGTTTTTTAATAAAATTACTACAGGTAGTCCTCGACTTACAACAGTTCATTTAGTGACCATTTAAAGTTACAACGGCATGGAAAAAAGTGTGACACAATGGCACTGAAAGGCACTGTGGGGAAAAAAACTTTGTATTTGGAATCAAAAAGAAAATTTGCAATTTTAATTGTTGGAAAAAAATTAACAAAACTAATAGGTGGATTTGGGGGTGGGGGGGATCTGAATTGCTGAGTAGAAAGGGCCAGGGCATTTCTTTGCCATGTATAAAAATGCATGCAGGAGTCAGTGGTGAAATTCAATGTTTTTTTTACTACCGGTTCTGTGGGCATGGCTTGGTTGGCATGGCAGGGGAAGGATACTGCAAAATCTCCATTCCCTCCCCACTTCTGGGGGAAGGATATTGCAAAATCTGCATTCCCACC